ATAGTGTAAACACGATTGTATTTGGCTCGAATTGCTTCGAGAACTTCTTCTTCCAATTCATCAAATGTATTGAAAATGATGGCCTTAGCCCTTGATGCATTTTCGTGCTGCACAATGTTGTAGTTTAACATGATATCATTTGGATCAGTAGTTCGAATAAAAGATGGAATGTCCTTAAGTCGAATGCCTTTCATCCCCGGTATCCAATCAATCTCTGTCTCTAAATATCCATTTGTAAAGCAACTTTCATCTGTCCAAATCAAATCTTATAAACGTTTCGAATATCGTTGAAAAACACTTTCGTAAATAATTTAGACATAAATCATACCTTTAAGAGGGACATATCCTCTAGCAACAAGTTCACCATAGTGAAGGTACCCCATAAAGCCACAAGCACTTGTAGTGTAAAACACGACTTCAGGAATATTGAGTTGTTCAGAAGCATCCAAACTAAAACTCATGACCCCATCAGAGACTATGCAACTAACATTCGGACAATCCGATGATTCATTAAGGTTCTTGACGAGTTCCAAAAAAGGGGCCAAACAATTTTTCGAAATCGACTCACAAAGTGCAGGGATATCTTGTGTAGCATCGCTGTTGGAAGGTGGCAGGCCATCTCGGATGGTTTTGAACTGGAAATCTTCGAGCCCCTTAACAGCGTCGGGGCCTCGGGCCCGAACAAGGCGATTGTGATTGAACTCTGTGTTGACGATGGTGATGAAGAATCCCTTGTAGTGAAGAAGTTTAGCCAATTTTAGCACTGGGGCTATGTGGCCTTGTGCAGGGAATGGGATTACTACAGCATGTGGCTTCATGGCAACAAATGAACTCTCTTTTGATTTCTCACTTGATCTAGAAACACGGTTTGATTTTATAGTGGGAGAAAGGAAAAAACGCAAGTGAGAATTAGGTGAGGTAGCTAGACTTTTTGCAGAGTGAATTTATGAAAGCATTTGAGCCTAATATCAGAATTAAAAAATAAAAAATTTTAAAAATTTGAAATTTCCGAAATGGAATATGATGTTTGTCCAAACTCCAAGACAGAGAAAAGAC